TGTGGCTGTATTTTTATCATACTGTTCCGTCTGTATTTTGTCAATATTTTTTATTATTTGCCAACGATTTTATTCTTTTTGTACACAAACTTTTTTTATTTGAATAAACCTGACTATACATTGCTATCGATTAATCTTTCAACGCGTTCTACTTTTTTATTTCGAAAAAGTAAAAAAGTCAACAATCAGACTTCTATAACAATAAATATTTAAATCAGAAAATATCCAACGAATATTAAAATTTATTATCGTGACATTTGTTGTAGAGATATGTGCATGATTTGAGAGCGTCAACTATTAGCAAGGCATAATTTTTTCATAAACATATAAAATATTTCTCTCAAAAACTAACATAGAGTATAGAAAACTTTTTCCAAACTCTTAGAACGTGAAAGAAATTAAGAAATTAAACGTATTTTGTCATTTTTTCACGGATTTTTTGGAAGTCTTGTATTAAAAAAATTCAAAATAACGTCAGCGTGGCTACCACCCCGAATATCGTTAATCAATTAACCCGACCTTAACCCAATGATGAAACGCATTCTGAACCTCTTTTCCATTATCTACGCTTTAAAGTGGAACGTCCGTTGTCGAGCGAAAATATCCAATAAAGGATGGATCGTACAAAGTGTCCGTTTACGTGTGCATAGGTGTTTGTTGAGTGTGGCAACAATTTTACTATATCGAGCTCGGCATTATTGAATAGCGATCGTTACTGCGTAGACGTAATAGTTTCTTGAATTGGGACCACAACGTAATGCAAATTGATAAAATATGCATTTACTTAAATTTCCTCTTCTTTCTCAATAATATCGGATATACTGATTACAAATCTCATTACAGATCAATATAAATTTTGTTATAGAAATTGCGAGATATCAATAGTTTTTGAGCTGTCACTAGAGAGAGAAAAGAACAACATAACATTTTTGCACAGATTCGTTCTTCTTTCGCTACATTACTTATACAAAATGCTTTGTATCGAGCAATACGTGTAAACGTTAGTGTACTTGAGCGCATGCATTGCGACAAAATATAACTAAGAGTCTTGAGTAGCATGTAAACCTGAGAGGTTTCCAGTGAAAGCCCATTTTGATTAACAAGAATTAGATCTTGATGCGAATATGGAGTTATGTTGACGGATATAATTACAGAATTAACATACGTAATTTCATTATGAATTAAGTACAGATCCATGTTGTCAGTTTCTTCGATATACAATAACTGTAATAACATTTCTCACGTGGTTGATGTATCATAGGTACATGTATACATAATGATACTTGGCATTTGTCATTTTACGTTATCGAATTGTATAGAAAACGTGACGGTATCAGATAACGGAGATGCATGTTGTTAATCGAGAATGAAGAGAAATACGAAATATACTAGAGCAATATTTTATATGATGTCAATAACATTTATTCATGTCATAATTAATGAAAAATGTCACTTGCCATATCAGCAAAGGTATAGGGATTTTGATGCAATGTTATGTCTTCCAATTATCAAAAAGAAAAAAATATTATGTGTGTGCGCGCGCGTATATTTTTTAATCTTTGATGTGTATAACGATATCCGAAAGCCTATTGTAATGAGGGAATCATTAATAGTTGTTTCTCACTCAAACGGCTTAGAACAGTTAAACACCTCGCATATATTTTATTTCTTTTGTTTCTTCGCTTCATTCTATTATATTGAATTTAATTTAGGAACATTTCTTTTTACTCCCATATACTTGATTTAATATCTGAAATAACTTGCATCTCATTTACAATATTGGACAAATTTATTCAAACTCGTACAACCGTTATGCCATATCATTTAAACAATTTGTCTGAATTGAAACACATCGCCTACGATAACGGAAAGGACGAAATATCAATTTGTTGTTATCACACACACATATACAAACACGCACACGCACAAACGTACATATGTAACAAATACATATTTCGGATAATTAGAAGGCATAAAATTGCATCAAAATCCCTACAGCTTTGCTGATATTGCAAGTAACACTTTACTTTGGACTTAATTTAATGTTAGCCTCTAGAAATTATCAAAGTTTAATATCTTGCTATAACTTAGTAAAACATGTATATACATTTTTCTACAAAACTTGTGCAAATTACGTCTTATAATAGGGAAATTTCTATATGGAAACCATCATTTGTCGCAACAACTCTTTGACATTAAATACCATGATAATTAGATGTCGGATTAAAAGTACTTGAACCAAGTAAAATCCACTCGAAATTAATTAAAGAACAGAATGTTGTTATTCGTTTAAGCTTAAAGCTTAATTTGTTTAAATCCTACAATTCTTTTCACCGTAATTCAAAATTAAAATATTTATTATCTTTTCCCACTAACTAAAGATATTTTTGAAAAAGTGAAAAATAATCTTTTACACTTAACTCTTAAATTAAAGACTTAATTATTATTTCATAATACACAATCTTATTGAATTAAATGTTACGTAAAGTCAAAACGTTAATATAAAAATTACATATGTCATTTTAACAAAAATAATTTCATTTTAGTTGTCCATACCACAGTATAAATTAATAATTTCGAGAAAGTTACACGAGACGTCGACAAATCAGCGTACTTAAGTAATATAATTAAGGCATATTTTATAAAGCGAAAAATACTAATCGTTTTCCGTTTTCCTTCTTTTCCCTCTCTTTCTCCCTCCCTTCGTCCCCCCCCCCCCACACACACACACACACACGCACACACACATACATATTTAATTAAACTTGCTTAGCTCGGTGTACACGATTCAACTCTGATCTCAGCAAAAATTACACTACTCAACAAACGTATTCCATCCTCGATTCACCGTTACTGGAAACCTGTTGCCGATATCTGGTGATACGTGCGAAATTCAATCCAATTTCAGCAATAGCTCCGGCGCTTTATCCTTGTTCCGCTCGCGCTATTTAATCTATTTTACTTATCTGTTTTTAATGAATTAGAAATTACCACCGTCCAGGTGCACGGAAATCAATTCGGACGACATAGTATCTCTCTCTCTCTCTCTCTCGATACCTCTCTTCCCCGATATCTTCTTTTACGTTCTTTCCTTCTCTCTAGAGAATAAATAAAAGGAGACAGAACTGTGCGCGATGGTGGCTCGGTGTCAATACCAAAGTTTGATTAACCGATTTAGCGGAGGAAGCTTGGTTATATTTTGAATTAAACTCCGCACACGCACTGAACGTGTATGCGTGTACGCGGTTTCTACAGACAATACCGATTTATCATCGCGGCACGGCATTTGCATGCTCGATAGATGCGCCAGGAACAGAGAATGCCTGGATAATCAAACATAAGATAACGATCCTGCGTGGGAAGCAATACGGTCATTAAATCGACAGTAACGTTCGCGTGTCAAGAATAAAGATATACGGTAACGGCGTATAAATTTGCCGATTGGATTGCTCGAATGTCACTCATGCGACGACCTAATAAATGACCAATAAGAAAAAGTACACATACTCGACATTTATTAATCCTCTCGACATCCGATTGATGAAATAAACAATAAATTAAAACAAAATATCTTATTGTTGACGTAACATTGTGCATACGTAAATAATTTCAAAAGTACCAAGTGTTTAAAACCACTGATGGAAAAATCTTGCTCGTTGTAAAAAAATATAAGACAATTTCTTGAACAAATAGCTGATGAATTTTGCTATTTTAACTCCATTTGTGTCTCACTCATCTATATTTACTCCAATCAATAAGCCAAAAGCTTTATCAAATCTTTTTCCATTTGTGTTATACGTATGTACATAACATAACTCTCTCGCGTACTCGCGAACGTGAATATAAGACATACGATGATTAACATGTGGACAGAGGGCATCGTATATTTATTTAATTAAAAATAATCGTCGGATGAACGAGATACATCCGAGTTTGACTGGAGGCACAACACACACGCCGTTTCACTATTAGTCATTTAATCGATATACACCAGAAACTACATATACCTGCTGGTCGCGACGTAAACAGGTCTTTATCATTACGTAGTTCTATCTGGAGTAACCCAGTTTGATTATTTATATCATTGAACGGAAAGAACAGTGTGCTTCCAAGTGCCAGGACTTTACCGATAACCCTGTCGACTACGTCAATAACATAGACGTAGACAATTACTACTGCAAAGGTAGAAATAATAGCATTTTATTAAATTCTGTAATCCCTACATTTTATTCTCTTTTCGGTCTACTTAACGATTTGAGAGAAGCAGACGCGCGCAGAAAATTAAGTAGATTGGAATAATCGCGAAATAATTCAATTCGCGAGCATACTTAAATAAAGTAACGAATAAAACAGCTGGCCGACTACAACGTGAGACGCAATTAACGGAGATTTCTCAGACTGAAAGCATTGATATCAATATTTATAAATTAACATTTGTATGAACGCTCGATCGACAATGTAATAATTCAACGTACAATCTCCGTGTATTGAATTTTAATGATACCGATGTGCACTTTGCCGAGAGAAACTGTTTCCAAAGTGGCTTTTTCGAAGAAAATCTTTAATAAATTCAACATTTCTAGGGGAAAGAATTAAATATGTCAAATGCGTGAAAAGAATTTGGTAATTTGGTAAAACATATTTTATACATTTTACACATTGTAAGTATATATATGTAGATTGAAAATCAACGTGAAAAGATAAATCTTTTTATTTCCCCACATCGGGTAAACTGTAATGGCGTGAGTTACAGGGAAGTGCATCGCAGTATCGAATTCTCATCCATATACTGAAATAATGGTAAAAGACCCCCTCCTGCTCCTCACGATTCTGTGGCCCGCGAAGAATACAGTTCCGAGCAGAGAAAGCACATATTCTCATTGAGAAAGAGCCGAGCGTACAACGTCGGCTTAACCGCACAGCCGATCGTAAATAGCCGTCGGCGATAATTCCGCGCCGTAAAACAACACTCGCACAAGTCGCACTGGCAGCGTCCCTACCTTCATTCTCGTTATTTCCAATGAGGATCTCGGTGTCTTTGAATTCCGCCTCCCTGACCAAGTCCAATGGATCCTTAGGCAGGAAGACCCCGTCGATGGTGGGCGCCGACGGGAAGCCGAGGATACCCCAGTAACTGTTCCATTGCTGCACGGAGAGAGTTTTGGCGTCGACCGACCTCATGCAGGCCATAACTCGCGCCGGGTTCTCTTGCAGCATCGTCGAATTGCATCCACAATCGTCCACCAGCACTCGAGCTACCTCATTGGCCTTCTCGCCGGTCATGTAACTCCACGGGGCGTTGAGGGTGCCACTCTGGAGGATACCCCGGCGCACCAGACCTTGCGTGACCGGCGAGATGAGATGTAGGGATACCGAGCTACCACCCGCGGACTCGCCAAAGATGGTGATCAAGTCGGGATTGCCGCCAAAGACGCGCGCGTTGTCACGGAGCCACTTAAGCGCCATGGCCTGATCCCAAAGGCCCATGTTACCAGGCGCCTCCTCGCTATTGATAAAGTGCTGATTGAGGTACAGAAAGCCGAAGGCTCCGACTCGGTACTGTATCGAAGCGATGATCGCGTTACCGGCCGCCGCCATAATGTCCGCGTCGTAGACGTCCAGAGTGGCGGTACCGCTCATGAAACCGCCGCCGTAGACCCACACCAATATCGCCATGCCGTCGCTCCCCAAGTTGTCCGGCGACTCCTTGTGACGTAGACGCAGCTTTTGTGGCACCCAAATGTTGAGATAGAGACAGTCCTCGGAGATGTTGGTGTTTGGGTTCCACATCTCCTCACCCTCGAAGCCGGGAAAGTACTCGTAGCGCTCCTGATAGCAGCTATTGGGCAAGGTGGTAGCGTTGAGGATCCCGTGCCAAGGCTCGATCGGCAGCGGCTTGCGAAATCGCAGAGGCCCGACCGGAGGTTTCGCGAACGGCACTCCGTAGAACACGTGAACCTCGCGATCGAGCACCGTGCGGGAGAAACCGCGCATCAGCCCGCTGGTAGTCTCCACCACTAAGGAATCGTGACTACCGCCGTCGTGACCGCCGTCGTGACCGCCGTTGTGACCACCGTCGTGACCACCGTCGTGACCACCGTCCTGGCCGTCCAACCGTCCACCACCGTGTTGACCAGCTACGTTCGCTCGCGTGATGCACGCGCTGTGCAGGCTCAAGCCTAGCAGCAACAGCAGCAACGAGGACGGACAGTTCATCCAAGAGCTCATGATCAAACCGGATTTTAGCCGCGCTCGATAACCAAGTTTCGCTCAAAATGTCGCTAATCGGCCAAGTCTTGGAATGTCTTGGAAGGCCCTCGGTGTCTTTAGAACAATAAAAATAAGTACGCGTTGTTCGACTATTTGTCCATCGGTACTCGTATACGCGAAAGCGAGAGAGAGAGAGAGAGAGAGAGAGTGATGCTTCGAACGAATTGTCTCTCGTCTTCGTCTTCGTCTTCGTCGTCACCGTCTAAGAACAAGTTTCCTCTTATGCATACGGTGCAGCGGCAAGATCGCGATATCGGGCGAAGGATACCAGGAGAGTGATTCTTTGGCGAAGAGTAAGGCGATTTTGAGGGATAGAGTTTCTTTACGAATCGTCGATCTTGTTCAAGCTGCACTCAATGCACTTTGCGTGTTGCTTTTACCGGAAAAAACTTTACCACTCCGTAAAAAGGCCATTCGCCACTCTGTTTTTTTACCACTCTGTGCATCTATATCTGATATCGGTTTTTGAAAAACGAAAAATTATAACCTTCGCAATCCACTAATATCACGGACGAATAATGAATACAATTTAATGAATCCGTATTTATCGGATTGCTCGATTTGCCTAAAGACTGACATTAAAATGCATTGTGCATTAAGCTAAAATAATAAAATGATAAATGATAATTCGCAATTGTGCTATCGATTATGCAACTAACTTTTAGTTTTCCCATATTAATCTCCAATTCCAAGTAATAGAGATGAAAATACTCTTTCTTCATACAGTTACTGTATCGTCATTTTTTGTAATTAACTTAAATATACATACGTACATATCTTAAATATTATTATGACAAGTAAAGATGCGTTAAATTTTTTAATCACACAATTCCTTAGAGAATTATAGTTTGTACAGAAAACTTATTCCTTCAAAATGCTCTACTCTTTTCCAAAAAAATCACTTTTTATATAATAACACTGATATATTTGCTTTAAGAACATTAATAGATTATTTTTAGTCCAACGGCAACTTTGTTATTTACATCTAACTGCCCGAACGATCGACGTGACCGTTCACGAGGATACTGACAAAAGATCTCGCGGTTGGGTCGCATGAAATATCAATGTTAAAATCGAAATACTTTGTAGAAACGTGGGTTATACGTTAAATTCCACGGTGCGACGTCAATATATTACACTGGATATTCCCTTTTGCTACAAAACTTTTATAGGTCATTGAAAAATAATACCCACGTAAAAGATTTAGAATTGTCATAAAGCGTTTCCCATGGGTAGCGTATCTGCCAAGAGAGAGACTCAACAAGTTAGCGAGTGGAAAGCCGACATTTGCGCGATGGGGCGGTAATTTTTCTTATTCGATTTTCTGTTTAAGAGAAATCGAGGCCTATTTTACAAAAAGAAAAGAAAATGGGATATATCACTAAGAGTAAAATTCAAAATGTTTGATGAGAAATAGAGAAGAGAAAAAAAAACGGTTCTTGACATGTAATATAAAATAATTTTTCGCAAATATATAATTATTATTATCATCACGTGTATATAATAAATTATACTACTTGCCACGATAAAACAGTGATTGTTATCGCAATGCAAATAATTATCTGCATGCAGTTCAGTTCTAGTTTTCTTTCTAGTTTCATCAAAGGCAATTAATCTTTATTTGATTCTTTCCGTTCTGAAACGGACTAGAGCGAGGGCTAAAATGAAATGAGGAAAGTTTATTAAACTAGTGAAATGAAATTAACATTTCTGAAAGCGTAGCGTATGTGTTTCAATCAATAAGCGTGTAAATTATGCTTCGCATGGATAATCGCATTCCTATAACTTCAGTTTTCCGATTATCGCATTACATGACCATTTGCGACACACGATAATAATTTCGTATTTCGCGAATCAGTTTCTACTTCCGACTGTAGTATCCGCCGTAAACCGCAACGCCGGAATACCGCACGGTGTCGATTGCAATAATGCAGTCCACCACGAATCATCATTAAAGCTTCATGAACCAAAGATAGAATGCCGCGACGGAGTATGCATACTATTAAACCGCTAAGCATCCACCACGCGCTGTATTAGTTAAAACTCGATCGAATTGGGATCCAAAAATTTCTTTAAGATCCTCAAATCTGCTCTCAAACCTAAAAACTATAAACTAATATCGATTTATGAAATGTAAGTAATTGCTAAATAAATCTCACGTTTCTTAAAAACCACCATTTCACCCATATTCCAATCCCTGTCAATAACAAAGTTAATCAAATTCAATTTATTATTCAGAACACTTTATCTTTTGTTACAATATTTAGTTAATTTCATTTCACTAAGAATGTAAAATTTGTAATTGCTTCTTTTGCGAAAGAAATTTGTCAAATCTATTGTCGAGCTATCTATTATTTTCTTGGATTAGAACTGGATTATTATTGTCAAATTCGTAAAATGCATTTCTTTTATTACTTGCACGTAGGAATATGCGAGATATTGTGATTCCGTGAAAGAAAGAAAAGAGTATCTTAACATAAAGGTTCGATATCTTAAAATTAAAAATAAGACTAAAAATTATTCCAATACGTATTCTTCATATCAGAAGGAAGCGAACATTTTTCCAGAAGTAAAGACACGTTTCGCGTCTTGAATAATGGATCACCACTACTTTGTAAAGAGCAAACTTGATAGGTTCTTTACACTAAATTGCAAGTGCTACGGCAAACAATTTCTTCGAGATACATTTTCTCAAATGACGTCTAACCCGATCAGCTAAAATAATTTGAGCGCTACTTTTTTGGGGAGTGGATGGAGGAGAAGGGGGGGGGGGGAGAGATTGGAGTAGGGAAAACCGCCATTGCCTCTTTTCACCATAAAGTCACGGCAATAGTGACAAGCTATTCCTCACGAAAACCACGAGCTCTCAAACGGTCAATTTCCACCCTCTAACCCAATCATCCCCGTCACAATCTTTCTTTCCGTTTCCTCCTTCCTTCCCTCTTCTCGCTTTCTAAACTCACCCTACTTTCCCTCCCATACACACTCCCGTGCACAATATACACGCACGCGCGCAGGATATAGAGCTTCACCTCTCAAAATCGCTTCCGCTTACTCGCCCCTCTTTTCACCCCCCTCCCCCTAAAGTATATCGTTTCCAGAAGCGACTTGGAGTTACTCCTCGCGTTCTCCTATCCTTTCTTTGCTTCGCGATGATGATGCTTTCCCGCTGGAAATTACAATTTCGACTTTACGATTCCGGCGGGCTTTCACAAAGAGCGCACCACGTACGTATGTGGAAACAGTATCACGCGGCAGCCGGCATGCCGCGTTGCACGGGGTCGACTGATCGAGGAGGCAGAAGTGGAGGTGGTGCTG